TCTCAAGGATAATTAACTCCGTGGATAATGACCTGGCCCTTTCAGCATCAACCTTGCCCTCTATATAGAATCGTTGCAATAGATGAGAAATGGACTCTAGTCTGTCCCCACATTAAAAACAAAACAAAACAACTCTCCTTGACCCTTCATCTTTTTCTAATTACTGTCCTCTTTTGAGAAATTTTGCTATGAAGTAAAGCAAAAAGTTTTTCTATTCTACTTCCTCTCCTCCTGTATATACTCATTTCAGCATTTATCATCTTAAATCATCTGAAGTTGTTAGGATCATTCTTTGTCTTTATTGTCTGTTTCTTCTATTTAAACATCAGCTCTATGATGAAAGGGACCAAATCTGTTTTATCTCAACTTCTGGCACATTGAAGCTTCTCAATAAATAGAGTAATAAAAGAGTGAATAAATGCTTAATTTTAAAAATTAGGTCATACTTGTAATTAGCCTACTCAGAAAATTTTCCTGAGATTGACTACTACTCAGACTGGCAGGAAAGGATAATAAGATCTTCTGTATGTCAGTAATTCCTGAAAAGAACAAGAAAACCAGACATTTGGGCATATAATTTGGAGCAGAGTTTGCAAACTCAAATGTCTTTGGCAAGTGACAAATACAGAGGTTATCATGTGCAAGCCACAGTGAGTGGTCAGTATCATCACAATCCAGAGACCCCAGCTCTGGCCCATGCAGACTGTGGCCAAGTGGCATTGACAGTACAAGAGGGAAAGATATTCCCAAGTCTTCAAAAGATAAGGGCTGGGGTTGTGGCTCAGTGGTAGAGCACTTGTTTAGCATGTGTGAGGCCCTGGGTTTAATTCTCGGCACCACCACATACAAATAAATAAAATCAAGGTCCATCAATAACAAAAATATTTTAAAAATAAAATCATGGCATTTGCAGGTAAATGGATGGAGTTAGAGAAGATAACACTAAATGAAGTTAGCCAGTCCCCAAAAAACAAACGCCGGATGCTTCCTCTGATATAAGGAGGTTGATTCATAGTGGGGTAGGGAGGGGGAGCATGGGAGGAATAGATGAACTGTAGATAGGGTAGAGGGGTGGGAGGGTAAGGGAAGGGGGCAGGGGGTTAACAAGGATGGTGTAATGTGATAGACATTATTATCCAAAGTACATGTATGAAGACACAAATTGGTCAACATACTTTATTTACAACCAGATATGAAAAATTGTGCTGTATATGTGTAATAAGAATTGTAATGCATTCTGCTGTCATTGATTTCTTTTATTGATTTTTAAAAAAAAAGTTTGCATACCAACTAGAACTGGGTTTGGCTGTAAATAGTGACTTGAAGCAGCAGCTTAAGTGAAGTAAAAATGTCTTTCTCTAACACACACACACACACACACACACGTGCGCGCGCTTAAGGGTGTCCAGGGCTCATGGGACTTGTTGCTTGGTGTGGCATGGCTTTCATTCCTTAAATCATTTGCAGACCTAATGGGCAGATGTGACTCCAGCCATTACTGCCTCATTCCAGGCAGCAGGAAGCAAAAGAGAAAGGAAAGCCCTGGTGTTCTTTTATAAGAATTCCTGAGAGCTTCCATTCCTCACTTTCATCATTTCATTTGGAAACTGGCAAATGTAATCTTCAAAGTGAACTAGCTGTGCCTATCTAAGGAAGAAGGGGAGAATGTGGATCGGAATTCTAAATCGGGAGTCTCTGCCAGAGCTGGCTATTTATGTGAAATTCCTAAGTTTTTGCTGAGAAGCAGAACATGTCAAATATAGCATGTCCATCATCTGGTCTCAGCAGAAGAGTTGCCAGCAGTGGGAGCTGGGAACCCCGCTTAGAGGAACAAATCCGAATGGTGTGCATTTCTGTGACATGTGGCACAACCAGCAAGTGTGGACTGATGAGGGTCAAACAGATGAAGGTTAGCAAGGTTTAGTCGGGGAGTGCAAACAGGAATGTGTGCCGGCAGCCTGGAGAGTGGGGAGCACTGTAAAGACGGGCAGTGCAGAAAGGGTGAGGAGGTACAGCCTCCCCCACCTCCTAGGGGATTGGCAGCAGCCTGGGAGGACCCTGCTTCCCTCCCCTTAAATCTAGGCAATTGTTCTAAGCGGTACAATTTCCACCTCCTTTGAATTCTAAAGTCACTTTGCCAAAGGTACCTTCTTATACCAGTTCAGGGTCACCCTTTCTGGAGGGATGACCAGACCCAAACTCTCCAATCAAGAGCTCACCAGTCCTCTCCAATAGCCCAAGTCACCCTGTTATACCTGGGCTTGGCCCAGTCTCAGATGAGTGAGAATTCCCTCTAAGTGCTGAGTCTCCCAGCCAGGCTGACCTTGTTTCTCTGAGAGGCATCAGGTTATGGTGGAAAGCACTGATTTTGCAGGTACACTTCCTTCTCTTTTGTCTTAGCATGATTGTCTACTGGCTGAGCAGACTATAAATACTTTCTTGGGTAAGAATGCTCTTAGCTACAATTTACACTAACAAGAGTGTTTTTTAAGATTCATAGGTATCACTAATGTAAAATATTTGGGGTTTTATTTGTTGTCTTTTTGTTTGTTTTGGTCCTAGGGGTTGAACTCTGGGGCATTCTATCATTGAACTACATCCCCATCCCTTTTTACATTTTATTGAGTCAGGGTCTCTAAATTGCTGAGGCAGGCCTTGAACTCGGGGTCCTCCCGCCTCAGACTCCTGAGTTGCCAGGATTACAGGAGTGTACTAACTCAACTCTGCCTGTAAAAAGGCCTTTGTTGAAACTTAAATTTATGTGAAGAGCTATTAAAAAAAATTTTAAGGCTCCAGTAAAAATTCTTTATAACCATCTATATATTTGAAATTAAGGACTTTATTGGCACAAACTCTGCAATGGAAAGTATTAACCCAGTAGGATGGATAGTAAGAATCAGCTCCTGTCTTAAACACACATGAAAAAAGATGAATTTTCAGTGCCACGGTTTAGCTTCTGGCCACCACCCCAGTGGAATCCAGATTGTTCTGCGGAGGGCCAGATCACATGCGCTCTATGCCCTTCTTCCCCAGAAGTGAGAAAGCGTTTCTATACACAGACATCTATACACACAGAAGACCCAGTGAACTGAGAGGAATAAGGTTATAAAGAGAAGCTGGGCTTAGCCATAGCCCATAGTACAGTGACTGGACAGCACACATACCCTGGAGGGACAAGCCCTTGAATTTATGGGACCATTGCCAACCTCACAGTTGGGGGTGCCTGTTGAGTGATGCCACTGCACACATAGAAGTCACACGTTTTACTTGTTTGTAAAAATTTCAGAACATAAAGTTCCCCAAAAGCCCTTTAACAAGGAATCAAAATGACAAAGGTTTAGAAAGTGATTTTTGTATATGGTAAAGGCTTATACAGTGATCGGGTAGTTTGACATAAATCTACCCTTGGCATAAAAGCGAGATTCCACTGCAGAGCCACTCACAGCACACAATATACCTTAGGGTCTAAGTCAGTCTCCTAATTAAGTTTGCTGTTGGATTCAGCATGTGCAGTTGTAATTGGCTAAACAGCAAATCCCTCAACATCTGCTTACTAGCTGGCACAGGCTTGACATTTAATGTTCAATTACTAAATGTGTCTTCTATAAATGAAATGATGAACAAATAAAGCTACTTGTGTTTGAGGACTAATAGCAGATGAGTGGTTGAGTATCTGAATTTTAGCCTGCTTATGTTAGTTTTCTGGACTATGTTACATAAACACACCATCAGGCTCCCTATTTCTGCTAAATGTGGTTTATTAGTATAGTTTGGTACAACTTTAACCCTACCTTTTCCAATCTTGGTCATGTCAATAATCCTTTAAAAATCATGCTACATTATTTCAAAGGAAAATGTCAAGCTGAACATATTTTTAAAAAGTGCTAGAAAATTATTCCTATCAAAACCTCATTTCACTGTGTTAGCTTCCTATTCTAACACAGTGCTTATCGATCTAATGTCAATGCGAATACACATCAACCAGGTACTGGTTTTCTAAAGTAATTACTTTGCAGATACCAAGATGATTGAGTCCTGGGGCTGTGCACAGAGAGGCCAAAGGGAAGCCATGTGTGCCGCCGCATGTTCCTGGGTGACCTCCCTCCTGTGAGCAGTCTCCAGTCTTTGATTAAAATTGCAAATGACCCAAATGGAGAGGGGGAAAAAAAAATCTTCGAGAAGGAAAGGGAACCAGAAAGCTAAGAAAAAAATGCAATGTTGGGCTGAGTCTTGTGGGGGAGGTGTCCCAAGTTGGATGCATAGGTCACAAGGATCATGTCATTACAGTTCAGAGGGCAACATATGGACACCAGCTTAGGAGGACCTATCAGGCCAATGAAAACATGTCTGACCATGTCAGAGACCTTCCAAAGATACTCCAGTGGAGTTAGTGTCTATGAAACTGGATCTAATCTGAGCTAAGGAAACAAGAATAACAGAGTTTTCCTGTTTCTCAGGTTCTGATATATTTGGGTTGGGAGCTGGGTGAAAGCCAGCTTTTTATTGTAAAAAAAATTTTTTTATGACACTATTTAATTTAAAAAAAAAAAAAAAAAAAAAAAACCTGAAACTGTTCACTGCCAAAGCCAAGAGAGCTTGGCACTGGTGTGTAAATCTCTCACCCAGGAAATCCATCCCTCCTACTGAACTGTTGGATAAACCAACCTGTGGCTTTGTCTTTCCACTTCTATACCAGACCCTATTACAGGGAGTGCAAAGAGCCAAACCTTTAATAAGTTGCCATACATTTGGCAACTTATTAAAAGATTCAAGGGTTGTTCAATACAATCACTTTATGTGACAAACAGGAGGCTGAGAGAGTCCCAACAGCTCAGGTAGTTTTTGTTGTTGTTGTTTTGCGGCCGGGTAAAACCATCTCTCATTCAGCAGTGTCCACATATAGCAAATGGGGCTCTCTTCTTTAAGGTTGCTTGATGGGAACCAGTACCATGAAGGGCACTTCAGAAGTCCCTCGGCTCTTCTACTCAGAGGACATTCTGCTAATTGACACAGTTCTTTGTGATTCTTTTACTTCTGTCCATCTGTCGGATGCTGTCTGTAACGTTAATGGTGACTTCTTTTGCAGACATCCTCTTGGTATCTCTTTTAGCCTGTTTAAAAAAAAAAAAAAGTTTGAAACAGTGAATTGAGTTACTAAGAGATTAAAAAAATCCTCACATTGACATTAATTTCTGTTAATTGTTACAAACACACAGGTCAGAAGAATGACCTACAAGAACACATGTAAGTTCCTACTCAGTGGTATTTTAAGTTAAATTTAGTACATGAAAAATGTAACAATTGTACATATTAATGGTGTATCATGTTTCTATATATGCATACACTTATTTTCAGAGGTTTCTCTGAATTTCCAATGCCAGGTTCTCACCTAGTGAGAACCTGGCAACAGACATATTCATTATTGAGCAAATGAATTCGCTAACGTCCATCAAAATAGATAAAAGTTCTCAGTTGGCTTTAATAGGGTGCTTAAGTTTTTGAGCTCTGGAGTCAGACTTGGTTCAAATACAGTCTATATCATTCACCATGGGCAATTATTTTTTAAAACGTTGCTAATGTTATATTTCCTCACCTGTAAAATGGGGAATAATATTATCTACCTCACAAGGTTGTTATGGTGCATACCATACTGCCTGTTACTAAATAAAATGGTAGGGGAAAAACTCTTGCAGAGTAGAATTATTCCATGTCTAAGTAAAGACAGATCAGTGATAAAGCCTAGGATTAACTTTAAGTATTAAAGCATTAAGTAAATTATAAGTTCTTCAATATGTGCCCACCCACCACTTCTCCCAAGGTGAAAATGACTAACTAGAAGTGGGGTTTATTTCATGCCTATTCCACTCAACTGTAAGCATGGAGTGACTTGAGATGAGCCTTTCAAGTCTCCCCAGGGATGCGTGAGGTTATGTGCTGCCCATCCCCCCTCCAGGGAGGACCTGCTGCCCAGCTCCACGGAATACTGTCAGCAGACAGCTTATAGTTGTCCCTTCAGGAGTGACTTCAGCTTCAGAGAGCCACCTCACTCAAGGTTGAACTTCTGTAGGTGGCCCAGTGTGGTGATGAAGGGAAGGAAATAAAGACTTGACCCTTTTGGCCTAAGGTAGGCCAGGTCTGGTGTGCCATTCAGCTGCAGAGCTCCCATGGGAGCTGACAGAGGCTGCTGTCTGACTGTATGGTGGCTCATCTTCCCCTTCCACAGGTGGTGACCCTAGGGGCACTTCCTACTGAACATCCTGTGTAATGATACGTCACAGTCTGCTTCCTGGAAAACAGTCTCAGATCCTGTGGAGCAGCTCTTATAGAGCAAGGATCTGTCCATGCTGGCTGTGAGTCTGGAGTTGCTAGATGTCTGTTTTTCATTCAGCATGGCCCCTAAGCACAAGCCAACCATGTCATCCATAGGCATCCAAAGAAATGGTGGACTGTTCCACCATTGGACAAAAAATAAGCAGCTCTGAATTTATTAGCAAATTATAGGTAGGTTTCTATCATGTCAAATAAAAACCTGTATATTTATAGTGGCTGCTGGTGATGCCCCCTACACATTCCATTTATTCAGCTGATACCTCTGGCTCCCAGCTACTAAGCCTTGGCTCTTAACTACTCATAGTAGCACTCTTCCAGTGCTACTGGTTTTTGGGGGGGTGGAGACTATGAAAGATGAAGTTTGGCCAGGCATGGTGGTACATGCCTATAATCCCAGCAGCTCAGGAGGCTGAGGCAGGAGGATAATGAGTTCAAAGCCAGCCTCAGTAAAAGGTGCTAAGCAACTCAATGAGGCCTTGTCTCTAAATAAAATACAACATGGGGCTGGGGATGTGGTTCAGAGGTTAAGTGCCCCTAAATTCAATCCCAGGTACCCCCACCCCCCCGCAAAGTGCTACCTCTTCTGCCTCATAGAGCTACAAATCTGTAGCCACTCATGTTCCAGAGCTGCTTATAGTATGAAGATAAGTCCAAACTACAACTGTTCAGCTCGGCTCTCATGCTTGCTGAACTTGATCCTCTGTCCTAACCTTCTGCCCCCACTAATATGCAAGTTTCAATCAATCCCTTGCATCTTAGGCTCTGCTTCTTGGAAACCTGGCCTAAGATAATAATTTGAGTGATCTGAGGGGCACTCAAGGAAAATCTCAACTGTCGCTTTAGACTTATTCATTAATTTCAAGAATAGGTTTTCACTATTTTCCTCTTAATGTTCCTGGCACCTCTCATCAATTCTGAGACATAGGAGGCCCTCAATTTAACTTTGAGTGGATGGATGGATGGATGGATGAACAAACAAGCACCCTGCCCTTGTCCATGTTCTTTTGCTTTAAAAACCATTAGTCAGTACTGTTTAGATTTCTGTCTTACACCGAGGTCTTTGAAGCTGGAACTTGCATCAGGACTAGCACTTACCTCCTACCTGTTCATCACACAGGTGCTGTGCGGGAAAAGAAGTTACCAATGCTGTGACCTAAAGAAAGATGCGGTGATGGTGAGGCCAGTTCCATTGGACTTTTATTTGGGGCATTACTACTTGAATGCTTTGAAAACGGGAGCAGGGAATAGACAGAGGCCATGATTGAAATGAGCTAAATTGCTGGCAGAGTCCCCCTAAGTTGGTGGGGGATAAGAGTTTTCCAGAATAGAAATACAAACTTTACAAACTACAAAAGTACTTTTCTTTAGAACAGTATTGGCAAGATTTTACAAACGGTTATTTAAGATTATACACAGAAAATGTTCTGTTGTATTTTGGTCAATTTTTAAGTTTAAAAAAATCTGAGCAAAAATTCAGTAGTTGGATGATTCTGTATTTCTAAGCCTGTGTAAAGGGTCAAAGGGTACAAAATCCTTAGAGCAGCCACTGAATCACAACTATAGCGGGACAGTTTCTTAAATCTGTGGATCATAAGTCTGTACCATGGAATGTTCAGGGCATAAGCCTTGGAGTCAGACCTGGACCTAGTGAAAACCTTGCTTTAACCTAAGTCTTACTCTCTTACCTGAAAAACAGGGAAATAATGCCTGCTTCTTAGATATTTGGAGAGAATTAAGTGTGTCACTTAGCATTGAGAAAGTGATCAATTCTGGTTTGCCTAGGACTGTCCCATTTTAAAATAAAAGTCCCACATTGCAGAATCTTCTCCAGGCCCTAACAAATCAGGACACTTAGCCACCCCTGTTATAGCTATTGTCATTAATTTCATTTGAAAAGTTGTGTCAGGAAACATACCAAATTGATGTCATCATTTTAATATAAGGTTTTTGATAACTACTACTTCTAAATGGCAACGACAATAATAATTCTAAAAGATACCCTTTTGGATAAAGGAAAACTAGAGTTCTGTAGTTCAGTTATAAGCCCAGAAGGTTCAAGCCACAAAGAAATCCACTTGCAAATAATTACTGTATTAAGTTTAACAAAGTAAACAATTAAAACAACAATGTGTTTTCTTGGAAACATTTTTTAAAAGAGAAGCTTTAGAATCTGAAAGCTTTGGAGTCAACTGAAAGGTACCCACTCCATTTACAGCTGTGAGGATATCAAGATGGATGGTAGTCACTATAACCTAGTTACAACTTGGAAAGTTTACAATCCAAGCCCAGAGAAGAGCAAGAAAGACTACAATTCTAGGTACCTGCTCTAAGGAGGCGGGGATGTAGTTCAGTGATAGAGCACTTGCACAGCATGCATGAGGCCCAGGGTTCAATACCCAGGGCAGCAACAACAACAACAAACAAACAAACAAAAAAAAAGTGGGGATCTTCCTGCCTTCCAATGAAAAAATAGAGCTACATAGGTACAAGGAAAAATTATGACATTTTGTCCCTCAGGTCACTTTATATAACAGATTTGTTCCCCCTTTTACATGGTATTTAACAAATACCACATAAATGTATTTATTCCCACACCCCCCTTTTAATGATAGGAAAAGAAAATATGTCCCTATTGTAATCAGTGGCTTTTAAAAATCTTATGGTTCTCAATTTGATGATGAGAAAATCCTATTTGGTACCTTTTTCTTTTACAGCTGTCTAATTCAATCCTTTCTCCACTTCTAATATTCTTGTTTTGTGAGCTCTGTCACCATTGACACCTCTTGTTTCTCACCTAGTTTGACAGCTTTTCTATTCTCTTGCCTCATTTTAATTTCTGCAAGCTTAATATCCTGTGAATCATGAATTTTAGTCTTTCTGGTACTGCCTCTTTAATTAAAAGTCATTTATTGGCTGCCATTTCTCAAGGGTAACCAGATTGACTGTGATCACTTCTTGGCAGTCTCCAACCCAGATGGACCAGTTTCTCTTGGGGTTCAGAAGTCAGGGAGTGATCCAGCTCATTCCCTATAGAGGTAGAGACAGCCTGGCTGCTCTATGGAGAACCGAACTCGGGACAGCTATTAAATTTGCTCAGTCTTTTCTCAGTTTCCCTCCAAATGGAAGTAGATATTTTCTCAGCTTTATTTGGATTCCACAACTGTCTGCACCTAATATGGAATAGTACAAACCTTTTCACAGATCTTTGCAGATAAATCAAATCTCTAAGTCCTGCTTTTCTTTGTTATCAGACACTGTTTTTTTCTATATTACTAATATATAAATTTTTTGCTGGTACTAGGATTTAAACTCAGGGTACTCTACAAATGAGCTATATCCCCAGCTCTTTTTTATTTTGAGACAGAATTTCACTAAATTGCCTAAGCTGGCCTCAAACTTACAATCTCCTGCCTCAGCCTCCCAAGTAGCTGGGATGACAGGCAGTGTCCAATACACCTGGCTATATTACTACTGTTTTTAAAGTATAAGAACAATGCATAATTATGGTAAAAAAAAATTAAGAGTAGAGAAGGGCACAGTGAAAAATAACTCTTGATTCCAGGCTCTGGCCCCTCGAGCTGTCCCCACAGATAATCCTGGCTACTAACTTTCTGTGGAGTGTTGCAGGGATTTTCTAAATACATACCATCAGAGTGCTGCTATTCTCTCTCCCCACACCCTACTTTCATCCTGGCCTCTAACCACAGCTTGAACTGTATATTTATTTACTTACTCATTTTTTGTTTTACTATCTCATCAGATTACAAACTTTAAGAAGGTC